TACTGAGGGACACAGAATTGTTACTCAGGGACAGACACAGAATTGTTACTCAGGGACAGACACAGAATTGTTACTCAGGGACAGACACAGAATTGTTACTGAGGGACAGACACAGAATTGTTACTGAGGGACACAGAATTGTTACTGAGGGACACAGAATTGTTACTGAGGGACAGACACAGAATTGTTACTCAGGGACAGACACAGAATTGTTACTGAGGGACACAGAATTGTTACTGAGGGACACAGAATTGTTACTGAGGGACACAGAATTGTTACTCAGGGACACAGAATTGTTACTCAGGGACAGACACAGAATTGTTACTCAGGGACAGACACAGAATTGTTACTCAGGGACAGACACAGAATTGTTACTGAGGGACACAGAATTGTTACTGAGGGACACAGAATTGTTACTGAGGGACACAGAATTGTTACTGAGGGACACAGAATTGTTACTCAGGGACAGACACACACAGAATTGTTACTGAGGGACACAGAATTGTTACTGAGGGACACAGAATTGTTACTCAGGGACAGACACAGAATTGTTACTGAGGGACACAGAATTGTTACTGAGGGACACAGAATTGTTACTGAGGGACACAGAATTGTTACTTACAGAACAGACACAGAATTGTTACTGAGGGACACAGAGTTGTTACTGAGGGACACAGAATGTGTTACTGAGGGACACAGAATTGTTACTCAGGGACACAGAATTGTTACTCAGGGACACAGAATTGTTACTCAGGGGCCAGACACAGAATTGTTACTGAGGGACACAGAATTGTTACTGAGGGACACAGAATTGTTACTCAGGGACAGACACAGAATTGTTACTGAGGGACACAGAATTGTTACTCAGGGACACAGAATTGTTACTCAGGGACACAGAATTGTTACTGAGGGACACAGAATTGTTACTCAGGGACACAGAATTGTTACTCAGGGACAGACACAGAATTGTTACTGAGGGACACAGAATTGTTACTGAGGGACACAGAATTGTTACTCAGGGACACAGAATTGTTACTCAGGGACACAGAATTGTTACTCAGGGACAGACACAGAATTGTTACTGAGGAGGGACACAGAATTGTTACTGAGGGACACAGAATTGTTACTGAGGGACACAGAATTGTTACTCAGGGACACAGAATTGTTACTCAGGGACACAGAATTGTTACTCAGGGACACAGAATTGTTACTCAGGGACACAGAATTGTTACTCAGGGACACAGAATCGTTGAATTAAAGAGTATGTCAGACAACATGCAGAGGAGTGGCAGAGGAGGCAATGTTTTAGGAGCGAGCAGACGTGGCAGCAGAGGAAGGGGTCGAGGCAGCACTAGTCGCAGCCAGAGGCCAGTGCTCCCGGTGTCATCCAGCGGTCGTGTCTCCACCGACAACCCTGCCATCATCGATTGGTTGGCTCGGTCGTCTTCCTCTTCCCAGGTCACCTCTGACACCTACAGCCAACGGTCGGTGGGTACGTCAGACACAACCGTTAGTTGGCATGGCCCGGGAGCAAGCCCACTGAAATCACGTGTCCTCTACCTGCCCCTGTCCTTTGGTGTTCCCTCACCAAGCGAAGTATCGCATGCTGTGGGCTCAGCCCCACTGTACAGTGAGGAAGAGCTAACAGAGGGCGGTCAGGAACGGGGGGAGACATCCGCCTCTTCAGCAGCCAGGCGAAAAAGTACTGGCGAGGAGAGTGGCTCGGTAGCCGGTCTAGAGACAGGTCTGTCTCCTGACCCACACGCAGCCGAGGGGGCTAGTAGTGAGGCGGAGACCCTAATTGATGATGATGAGGCTGATCGCACTTGGCAGCCTCGTCGTCATCAGGCTATTGCTTCCGCATCATCAGGAGAAGAGGGTGGCAGCTTGGCAGCGAGCAAAACAGTCGGTGGGTTGCCCAGGAGGCAGCAGGGTCGCAGCAGTGTCAGTGGAGGCAAACGGCCACGGAGTAGAGCACCAGCTCCACTGCAGCCTACCACCACGGCCAGTAGTGGTGCCGGTGTGCACGGAGGAAGTAGCAGTCAGCCAGTGAGGAGTATCGGGGGCAAAGTTTCCTACTCGGCGGTGTGGCAATTTTTCGTCAAGCCGCCCGAGGAAAGTAAACGTAGCCGTATGTCGACTATGTGGCCAGAAAGTCAAGCGTGGCCAGGGGGCCCATGTTGGGACTACAGCGTTGCGTCAGCATATGCAGCGTCGCCATTTGGTGGCCTGGGAAAACCGTGATAAAGATACGGCGGTTCTGCCTGCCCCAGCCCCCGCTCCATCACCCCGCTCCGTTACTTGCTCCGTCACCCGACGTCAATCGCCCTCTATCAGCCAGTCAAGGCTCCAACACCTCTGCTGAGGGGAGTTGTCGCTCGTTGGCATCTTCCGCTCGTTCAGATGCTCCTTCTCCTGCTACTCCTCTTCACGGATTCCGTCAGCAGTCTTTCTTGGAATCCGTTTCCAAGAGACAACAGTTTGCGAGCACGCACCCGACGGTGCAAAAGCTGAACGTCCTCCTGTCCAAGTTGCTGGTGCTGCTGCAGTCCCTCCCTTTCCAAGTGGTGGACTCAGCACCTTTCCGAGAAATGATGGCTTGTGCCGCGCCGCGGTGGAGAGTGCCAAGCCGTCATTTCTTCGCCAAAAAGGCAGTGCCAGCCCTGCATTCACATGTAGAAGAGATGGTGGGCCAGTCTTTGAGCATGTCGGTCTCTGCCAAAGTGCACGGCAGCGCCGACGTGTGGAGCTGTAACTACGGTCAGGGACAGTACATGTCATTTACGGCCCACTGGGTGAACGTGGTGCCGGCACAGCCGCACCAGCAACTTGGACAGGTCACGCCGCTTTTGCCTCCACGTTTGCACGTCCTTGGTCCACAAAAAGATGTCCGCCTCTACCACCTCTTCTTCCGCCGTGTCCTCAGCCGCCACCCCCCGTGCCAAGTCCCATTACCCGACCGGCATATCACATGTGCAGGGCGCAACGGTGTCACGCTGTGCTGCACCTGGTATGCCTTGGCGAACGTAGTCACACAGGGGAGGAACTTCTGAGTGTAATGAACAGAGAAATCGACAGATGGCTGTCTCCGCGCAAACTGAAAATCGGAACCATTGTTGACCGACAACGGAAAGAACATGGTGTCTGCTCTGCGTCAAGGAAGGTTGTGCCATGCGCCATGCATGGCTCACGTGTTCAATCTGGTTGTCAAGCGGTTCCTAAAATCCACCATCCCACTGCAAGACATCCTTAAAATGTCACGTAAACTTTGCATGCATTTCAGCCATTCCTACACCGCAAAGCACACCCTCCTTGAGCTGCAGCGGCAGAACGGAATTCCACAGCATCGCCTGATCTGCGACGTTGCAACAAGGTGGAATTCAACCCTACACATGTTAGACCGCCTTTACGAACAGCGAAAGGCCATCACCGATTTCCTGATGTTACAAGCGGATATAAAGGTACTCCCCTGTGTAACTTAGATGTCAGCCATTGGCAGCTCATGCGTGACACCTGCCGCTTGCTCAGGCCCTTTGAGGAGGCCACGCTATTCGTGAGTCGGCAGGACTATGGGATGAAACGACGTCATTCCTCTGTTGCACGTCCTGGAACAAATGCTGTTAACAATGGCTGGTCAGGGTGCGGTAGACGTGGCGCACAGATCTCAACGCCACATGACCCCTGTGGGGGCAGGACAGGAAGAAGAGGAGGAGTAGAGGAGGACATTTGTGCTCAGGAATTATTGAGTGAAATGGGTGGTTTTTCCACTCAGCGGACAGGAGTGGAGGAGCAGGAGCATCTGGTAGAGGAGGAGGAGAGGAGACAGAGGACCCAGACGCACCGTGGCAGTATGCTGTGGAGATGGAGGCAGGGAGTCCCTCGCATTCCTTGGCACAAATGGCCCATAGCATGCTCGGTTGCTTGCGTAGCGACAGCCGAATAATAACCATCAGACAGAGGGATGACTTTTGGCTGTCCACCTTGTTGGACCCTCGCTACCGTTCAAAAATGGTGGCCTTTTTCACACCTGCTGAGAGGGAGGCCAAAATAACGTACTATAAAAACCACCTATGTAGTCAGTTGGTCTCTGCCTTTCTGCGCCAACGTCCATCCTCAGACACTGTGGGCCCTGTGCGCTCTCGCGTTCCGCTGCCATGGCAGCAGGGGAGGGGTGGGGTGGTAGGAGCAGTGGCAGCTCCACCAGCAGCGGCTGCCTCAGTCTGCAGTCGATGATGAGTAGCTTTCTTCACCAGCGCAGTGAGGAAACTACTAACCAGCCGCAGCAGCAGCAGCAGCATCAGGTGGACCTGGAGCAGGACCTCAAACAACAGGCTTGGGCCTACTTGGACAGCACCCTGCCAACCGAGGTAGACAATCCCCTTGACTACTGGGCAACGAAACTTGACCTTTGGCCCCAACTAGCTGAATTTGCCCTTGAAAGGCTGTCATGCCCGGCCAGTAGCGTGGCATCGGAGCGCGTGTTTTAGTGCGGCAGGAGGTATTGTAACTCCGCGGAGGACACGACTGTCCACCCCAAAGTGTGGAGAGACTCACGTTTGTGAAAATGAATCAGGCGTGGATTAGTCTGGATTTCAAACCACCAGTTCCTGACACAACTGACTAAATCCGCCATGAATCATGCCCCCAAACATGTGCCACTTTCAGGTCCTCCTCACACTGCTGGTGTGTTCCATTTTTTTTGTCATAGGGTGCTGGCAGATTACGGGCCTCCCATAGCTGCTGCCCAGGCCCGTAATCTGCCATGGGCCCCTGTACCGCCTCCTCATGCTGCTGCCAGGTCCAGAGTCTCTCATGGGTCCCTGTACGGGCCTCCCATTGCTGCTGTCTCCATCGCCACACTCTGCCATGTGCCACTTTCAGGTCTCTCCTCACACTGCTGGTGTGTTCCATTTTTTGTCATAGGGTGCTGGCAGATTACGGGCCTCCCATTGCTGCTGCCAGGCCCCGTAATCTGCCATGGGCCCCTGTATACCGCCTCCTCATGCTGCTGCCAGGTCCAGAGTCTCTCATGGGTCCCTGTACGGCCTCCCATTGCTGCTGTCTCCATCGCCACACTCTGCCATGTGCCACTTTCAGGTCTCCTCACACTGCTGGTGTGTTCCATTTTTTGTCATAGGGTTCTGGCAGATTACGGGCCTCCCATTGCTGCTGCCAGGCCCCTAAATCTGCCATGGGCCCCTGTACCGCCTCCTCATGCTGCTGCCAGGTCCCAGAGTGTCTCATGGGTCCCTGTACGGCCTCCCATTTGCTGCTGTCTCCATCGCCACACTCTGCCATGTGCCACTTTCAGGTCTCCTCACACTGCTGGTGTGTTTCCATTTTTTTCAGTCATAGGGTGCTGGCAGATTACGGGCCTCCCATTGCTGCTGCCAGGCCCGTAATCTGCCATGGGCCCCTACCGCCTCCTCATGCTGCTGCCAGGTCCAGAGTCTCTCATGGGTCCCTGTACGGCCTCCCATTGCTGCTGTCTCCATCGCCACACCTCTGCCATGTGCCACTTTCAGGTCCCCTCACACTGCTGGTGTGTTCCATTTTTTGTCATAGGGTGCTGGCAGATTACGGCCTCCCATTGCTGCTGCCCAGGCCCGTAATATCTGCCATGGGCCCCTTACCGCCTCCTCATGCTGCTGCCAGGTCCAGTGTGTCTCATGGGTCCCCTGTACGGCCCTCCCATTGCTGCTGTCTCCATCGCCACACTCTGCCATGTCCACCTTTCAGGTCTCCTCACAACACTGCTGGTGTGGTTCCATTTTGTCATAGGGTGCTGGCAGATTACGGGCCTCCCATTGCTGCTGCCAGCCCACATGCCCGTAATCTGCCATGGGCCCCTTGTACCGCCTCCTCATGCTGCTGCCAGGTCCAGAGTCTATCATGGGTCCCTGTACGGCCTCCCATTGCTGCTGTCTCCATCGCCACACCTCTGCCATGTGCCACTTTCAGGTCTCCTCACACTGCTGGTGTGTTCCATTTTTTGAGTCATAGGGTGCTGGCAGATTACGGGCCTCCCATTGCTGCTGCCAGGCCTGGTAATCTGCCATGGGCCCCCCCCACTGTACCGCCTCCTCATGCTGCTGCCAGGTCCAAAGTGTCTCATGGGTCCCTGTACGGCCTCCCATTGCTGCTGTCTCCATCGCCACACTCTGCCATGTGCCACTTTCAGGTCTCCTCACACTGCTGGTGTGTTCCATTTTGTCATAGGGTGCTGGCAGATTACGGCCTCCCATTGCTGCTGCCAGGCCCGTAATCTGCCATGGGCCCCTGTACCGCCTCCTCATGCTGCCTGACAGGTTCAGAGTCTCTCATGGGTCCCATGTAACGGGCTCCCATTGCTGCTGTCTCCATCGCCACACTCTGCCATGTGCCACTTTCAGGTCTCCTCACACTGCTGGTGTGTTCCATTTTTTGTCATAGGGTGCTGGCAGATTACGGGCCTCCCATTGCTTGCTGCCAGGCCCTGTAATCTGCCATGGGCCCCTGTACCGCCTCCTCATGCTGCTGCCAAGGTCCAGAGTGGTAATCTCATGGGTCCCTGTACGGCCTCCCATTGCTGCTGTTGTCTCCATCGCCACACTCTGCCATGTGCCACTTTCAGGTCTCCTCACACTGCTGGTGTGTTTCCATTTTGTCATAGGGGTGCTGGCAGATTACGGCCTCCCATTGCTGCTGCCAGGCCCGTAAATCTGCCATGGGCCCCCGTACCGCCTCCTCATGCTGCTGCAAGGTCCAGAGTCTCTCATGGGTCCCTGTACGGCCCTCCCATTGCTGCTGTCTCCATCGCCACACTCTGCCATGTGCCACTTTCAGGTCTCCTCACACTGCTGGTGTGTTCCATTTTTTGTCATAGGGTGCTGGCAGATTACGGGCCTCCCATTGCTGCTGCCAGGCCCGTAATCTGCCATGGGCCCCAGTACCAGCCTCCTCATGCTGCTGCCAGGTCCAGAGTCTCTCATGGGTCCCCTGTACGGCCTCCCATTGCTGCTGGTCTCCATCGCCACACTCTGCCATGTGCCACTTTCAGGTCTCCTCACACATGCTGGTGTGTTCCATTTTTTGTCATAGGGTGCTGGCAGATTACGGGCCTCCCATTGCTGCTGCCAGGCCCGTAATCTGCCATGGGCCCTGTACCGCCTCCTCATGCTGCTGCCAGGGTCCAGTAGTCTCTCATGGTCCCCTGTACGGTGTCATGCCTCCCATTGCTGCTGTCTCCATCGCCACACTCTGCCATGTGCCACTTTCAGGTCTCCTCACACTGCTGGTGGGTTCCTTTTTTTTGTCATAGGGTGCTGGCATGATTACGGGCCCTCCCATTGCAGCTGCCAGTGCCCGTTAATCTGCCAAGGAGGCCCCCAGTCACCGCCGCCTCATGCTGCTGCCAGGTTCAAGAGTCTCTCATGGGTCCCTGTCCACCCCGGCCATCCCCTTGGATGACTGTCTCCATCGCCACACTACGCTGCCATGTGCCACTTTCAGGATTCTCCTCACAACTGCTGGTGTGTTTCATATTTTTGTTCATAGGGTGCTGGTCAGATTACGGGCCTCCCATTGCTGCTAGCCTTGCCCCGTAATCTGCCATGGGCCCCCTGTACCCGCCTCCGCATGCAGCTGCCAGGTCCACAGTGTCTCCATGGTCCCCAGTCACGCCTCCCAATTGCTGATGTTTCCATCGACCACACTCTGCCAATGTGGCCACTTTCAGGTTCCTCACTCAACTGCTGGTGTGTTCCAATTTTTTCTCATAGGGTGCTGGCAGGATTACGGGCCTCCCATGTGCTGCTAAGCCAGGCCCTTGTAATTCTGGCCATGGGCCCCATGTACCGCCTCCGCATGACTGGCTGCCAGGTCCAACAGTGGTAACCCTTCATGGTCCACCCTGTAAACGGCCTCCCATTGCTGCTGTCTCCATTCGCACACACACCTGCCATGTGCAACATCTGTTCAGGTTCTCCTCACACTGCTGGTGTGTTCCATTTTTTGTGTCAATAGGGTGCTGAGCAGATTACGGGCCTCCCATTTGCTGCTGCCAGGCCTTAATAATCTGCCAATGGGCCACTGTAACCGCCTCTCTTCATGCTTGCTGGCCAGGTCCAGAGTGTCGCATGGGGTCCCTGTACGACCTCCCAATGCTGCTGTCTCCATCGCCACACCTCCAAATGTGCCACTTTCAGGTTCCTCACACTTGGTGTGTTCCTTTTTTGCCCTTGGGTGCGGGCAGTTTTAAGGGGGCCTCCCATTGCTGCCCCCAAAGCCCTGAAATTCGGGAAAGGGGGCCCCCCTGTACCACCCCCTTAAATGCTGTTTGCCGGTCCAGAGGGGCTCATGGTCCCTGAAACGGCATCCCATTGTTTGTGTCTCCATCGCCACCAAACCTCTGCCATGTGCCATTTTTCGGTTTTCCTCACCCCTGTGGTGTGTTCCTTTTTTTTGTCATGGGGTGCGGGAAGAT